TTAAAAAAAACTAAGTCTAATAAAGTATTTCAAACGCAATATATTAAATAAAACGTGAACGGCTAAGTCAGTCACTCACTCACTCACATTCACTCTTTTAAATACGCTAAGTAATATTAATCGACTGGAAGAGACAATAATTCACTTTGTTACTACTAACTAAAGTAAATTTTCTGAGTAGATAGATTATCCCTTAGCAGATAACGAACTTAATTTCAGGTCAACAATTGAGTGAAAAAAATACACAATAATAGTGATAAAAATATAACTTAATTCATTAAAGATTAATTGTCTATTTTTTACATATTTTTAAAATTGATAATGAGAGCATTAATAACAATAATACAGTCAGTGTGATATTAACAATAATAGTAATAATAATAATAATATCATTAACAAATTTCTCATTCTTCTTCTTCTTCTTCTTTAATATTATTATTATTATTAAATATTAATATTAATATATAAGAAGGAATATAATAGTAATAATAGTGAGAGAAGGAATTAAAATGACTGCGAAGAATATAACAATGAATGATAAAAAACAGAAGGAACAAAGAGTGAGAAGTAAATGAGAAAAAAATAGTACGAGCATTGTTTTCTGAAGGATAAAAATTTTAGCAGTAAAAACATTCATTTCATCTGAATGTTAAGAAAGTAGGAAAAATGCAAACAAATTTTCAACAAGGCAACTTTGTAAGTTTGTTATGCCTATAAGCTATAAGAGTATTAATAGCGATGGTAGTTAGTTAGTTGGTAGGGAAGATGGTAGTGCAAGCGGTAGTGGTAGTTGTGGTAGTGTTGGTGATAATGGTGGAGGTAATGGCGGTGGTAATGGTGATGGTGGAGTGAGCAGATTGAAGAAGGAAAACGTATTTCTGATATATTCATCCCCCTCAACAACCTTTAGCAATCAATCATTTGTTCCTTTAAATTCATCAACTGATAAGATATGTGTTAATTTTAAGCTATAAATTGATCAAAATTATGTGCATAAATAGTAATATATTACAATTATATCGAATGAATCAAACTAATGACCGCAAGATTTATTAGTTAATTAATTTATTTAAGCATTCTCTGTTAATACTAATACTTGAACAATTAATATGAAAATTGAATTTTGAATTTGCTTGTACAAAACTTTCTCTATGTTTTTGTACTGAGATGATTACGATCTTCATTTTACTGCTAATAACAAACAACTTTTGAAATAAATAAGTTAGTTGCGAATATTTTTGCTGATCTCACAAATATTTGTTTTACTTTTTTTTGAATTCAACTGATAAAAGATAAACATTCACTAAACACAAATATGGGATTTGACTTACTACAGTCTTCACGCTAATATCACTTACTATTTTTGATTTGTTTAACTTTTTTTCATTAAGCTCACGCTTCTTTGTCATATGAATACATTGAACACAAATTAAAATACATTGCCATATGTATAAAAAGTAAGTCATGAATAATAATTATGATATAAGATCTGCTTATGATAAAGATCTATCAGCAATATTCAGATGTATTATAATTTAGAGGCTTTAGCATAAGTTAATGTTTTCTAAACCATTTTTTGTCTACTATAGTTAAAGATAGTTAAGAAATTCATAATCAAAAAACTATGATGTGAAGTAAAAACTTCCTTAATTTGAATCAATTTAATTCCATCATTTTGTTTTCATTATTTAAGTTATAATTATTAGTTCCGTTTGCTTACTTCAGAATTTTTCACATCAAATAATTGCATTCTTGGAGTGATTGAATTTAAAGAACGAATTACAAAACTAAAATTATTGTTTATTCATCTTCTATATACTACTTCAAACATCTTTTATTTCGATTTCGTTTGAATTCAATAAGCAACTCATTTTTTCCAATTTTATGCACTAGCAGTGAAGAAGATAACAGATCACTACGATAACAACGATTTGTTATATTCATTTCATTTTGATATGTACAATACTTTATATGTATGTCTTGTGCAATACTTCAAAATTCAGTCAGAAGTTAATTTTTAAAATATTAAATGGTGCTTTATTTGAATTTGACAATAATTTTGCCTGTTGAGCGCTTTTTTGAAAATGTTTTTCGGGCAATTATTATCACTGCAGAATATTGATGCATAATTAGATTATATATAAACTAACCTAAGAACAACTCAAAGTGTTTATCCAATTAATAATTTCAAAAAATGAATAATTTTCAAATGTTTAAAATGAATTGACAGAAAAAATGAAAGTAAATCATTATTAATCTCTGCAAATAGCTAATTTTAAACATCACAAATTCAAATACCCGCCAAAAAAGGGACAACTTTTGCTTAAATGTTAGAAATTCACTTCGTTAGTAATCATTTATCTATTTTGTTGGTCAAAGAACTGCTAAAAAGTTTTGAAATATCAGCCAACTGCTCAATTTTTCAGCAATAAAATTATTGATAAATTTAAGCAAAAAAAATTGTCCACAATTTAAATAGATAGATAGATAGATGGATAGATAGATAGA